CTGGAGAGATGGTTCAGCTCTTCTGGAAGACAGGGCACTCACATGGTGGCTCACAATCCTCTTTTAACTCCAAGCTGGGCAGTGGTGGTGCACACCTTTAGTCCCAGGACTTGGAAGGCAGAGGCGGGCGGATCTCTGTGAGTTCGAGGCCAGCCTAGTCTATGGAGGGAGTTCCAGGACAGGCTCCAAAGCTACAGAGAAACCCTGTCTCGAAAAACAAAACAAAAAACTCTTTAACTCCAGTCCTGGAGTTCCAATTGCATACAGGTAGGTAAAACACCTTTGCATATAAAAATTACCTTTAAAATTATTAATTAAAAAAAGATTTTAAAAAGAACAGCTATCCCTATCTTCAGTTTCAAGGGATCTGGTGCCTTTTCCCTGCCTCCACAGGCATGCACACAGCACACACACATGTTCAGGAAGAGCACTCATACGAATAAATGAAAATTGTTTTATTTTTTAACTTATTTATTTCTATCTAAGGCTGCGTGTGTGTGTGTGTGTGTGTGTGTGTGTGTGTGTGTGTGTGTGTGTGTATCACATGTATACAGGTGTTTGGAGACCAGAGAAGTGTCAGATTCCCTGGAGCTAGTTATAGTCATTTGTGAAATGCCTGTATGGGCGCTGGGAATTAAACTCAGATCCTCTGGAAGGAAGGCAGTAAATGTTCTTAACCATTGAGCCATCTCTACAACCCTATTTTATTTATTTTTAAATCTCTCTCTATGTATGTATGTGCAGTGAGCTCAGAGGCCACAAGAGAGTGTTAGTTCCCCTGGGACTGGAGTTACAGATGGTTGTGAGCCACCATATGGATGCTGAGAATTGAACCCAGGTCCTCTGCAAGAACAGCCAGTGTTCTTAACCACTGAGCCATCTCTCCAGCCCCAAATTAATAAATCTTTAAAAAAAAAAAACAAAAAAGAATCTCAGCACAGATAACAACTGCTTAGGCTTTGAAAAGAAGTAAACAGAACTAAAAAAGAAAGAAAGGAAGGAAGAAAAAAAAAAGTAAGCAAGCATGGGGGTGGTGCTTAAATATCAAAGCCAATCTCTACCCGAAAAATTCCCTCCCACAGTACAAGAACTCGGGACTCACAGAGTTGGGATAAGAAGGCTTGGTCTTCAAGAAGGATGTCATGGTAGAAAGAGAACCAGCCTTCGATCACAAGGTGAATGAATGTACAAACAGTAAACCAGCACAGGGCCAGTCGACGCCAAGTTCCAAGTGGGACAACGGAAGCTCGCTCAGACAACAGCCACGTGATCACAATTAGGACCCCAGAGACGGAGAATAGGCCAGCCAAAATATGCCAGGTCGGGAGGTCATTAGGCACAAAGTTGTCCAGCCTCAGGTGCCTGGGCCAGTATGGGTGTAAGGGGCCCATATTGGTGGTCATGCTGCTATGGGCCGCTGGCTGCTTGGAGATAAACAGGGAGAAAAAAGGAACAGAAAAACCTGGGCAAACAGAAAGTACATGGTGAGATAATTAAACCAAATCCAAATAGTTTGCAATAAGAAATGTAAATGAGCCGGGTGGTGGTGGTGGTGCAGGCCTTTCATCCTATCTGAAGGCAGAGGCAGGCGGATTTCTGTGAGTTCGAGGACAGCCTGGTCTACAGAGCTAGTTCCAGGACAGCTAGGGCTGTTAAATGGAGAAGCCCTGTCCTGTTACACGGAAAAAACAAACAAAAAAATGTAAATGAACTGGATCCATTATTTAACAGAATTACTATAAGACTGGAGGATTAAAAACAGACCAATTTTAGCGGGACCTGGTACCACAGGCATTTAAGAGTCCCAGCACTTGAAGGCAGGTGGATCTCTGTTGACTTTGAGGCCAGCCTGGTTTAGTAGTGAGTTCAAGGTCAGCCAGGGCTACACAGTGAAGCAGTCTCGGAGGGGTGGGAAGGAGAAAGAGGGGAAAAAAAAAACAAGAAAAAAACTCTAATTTTGAGCCATTTCAAAGAATATAACTAGGGCTGGAGAGATGTACTTGTTCTTGCAGAGACCTGGGTTCAATTCCCAGCACTCACACAGTGGCTCACAACCATCTGTAACTCTAGTTCCAGGGGATCCAACACCTTCTTCTGGATACATACATATATATGCAGGCAAAATAATCATACATATAAAATAAAATTAATCTTTAAAAAGACTGTAACTAAAATACGAATCTACATAAATAATAAAGGCTTGTCCCAAGTCTCTGTGAGGCCTAGCAATAAGAAATGGGCCTGGCTCGAGACAGGTAAGACTGTAGAGCTAGCTAGGAAAAAATGGGGGCATTAGGTAAAAGGTCCTCCTCGCTCTCTTGGTAATGGTGTCAGGGATTTTGACATACTTAACCAGTCCACCTGTAAGAGAACTATACCCTGTTTCTGGGGATCAGCAAAAACAAAAACTGTCAAAACTGACTAATAAACTTAAGTCCAGTGTCCTTGCCAAATGTGTGTATTTATAACAGTGTGTGGTTAACACATGCCTGAAATCCCAACATTCTGGAAGCTGAGGCTGAATGATTGCCATGAGTTCCAGGCTAGCCTGGTCTACATAAAAAGATCCAGAGTAGCCAGAGCTACATAGCAAGATCCTATATTCAAACAAACATACAAACAAACTTCGAGACTAAACAGCTTCCCCAGCCCCCTAAATTAGATATATAGCTTCTGCTGGGCACCTAGGTACATTCCTCTCTGAACACTCTTCCAAGTGCAGCTTTCTGCTGAGTAAACTCACTAACTTGCTTCATGGTGATACATCCTAGCATTTTCTTACACGGCAGGCAGGTTTCAAGACCTCCATGAGCCTAAGTAGAGGCCCCCCGAGGCTCCAAGGGATCCTCCGGCTGCACTGCTAAGCTACACTGAGTTGTATTTCCTGTTTGTTATTAGTCAGACTCAGCCCTCAAGGGGGTCACACGTACAAGTCCTGGTCCTAGTCCTCTTGGTCACCTCTGGTGGAGGTGACAAGAACCAAAGGCCTTGATCTCAGCCCTCAGCGGTCACAATCTAGTGCAGGACACACAGCGATCAGTGTTGACCACGGCCCGCATTGGTCACACTCTGGTGGGAGAGTCACTGTCAGCAAGCCAGGTCCCAGCACTTGGGGCTCAGTTTCGTAGACAGACACAGGAACATAGATAGCCTGGGTCCGCTGCGGGAGACAAAGGCAAGGATCGTTCAGTTGGAAGCTACTCCTACCCGCACGGTCCAGGAAAAGCAGTTGGGAGGCTGCAGAGATGACCAATCAGAGCTACAGCCCTATGCACCACGCTCCAAAAGCCAGACTCCAGGAAATTAGTGTACCGTGCCGCCAACAAGTCAGAAGTAGTGGGAAAGGCAGGTCTCACGGGTGGTGCTAAACAGTAAAAAGGGGAACCGAGCCCAGAGACCACCAATCACAACCAGAACCTTCCACTGCCGCTGCCCAACGAGAGGGCGAGTCTTCCGTCGTCTGGACAACGGCTTTAGGGCCCAGGTCCCGCGCAGGCGTTGGGTAGGTCAGGGCTCCCAGGCAGGCGGCTGTCGTGGAGGGCCTGGGCACATGTCGGGGACTCGGGCAGGCTGGCAGGCAGAGAGCACTCACCTAGGCGGCGCGATCACAGGGCCTCTTCTTAGCACAGGCTTGCGACTTTCCAGGCAGACCTGAGCGCTCCCAAATAGCCCCAGTTCCGCCCTCGCTACTTCCCCGCCTAATGGAGCGAACCAATAGTGAAGTGGAGGAGGTGGCTTCTGCCAATAGGAGTCCTCCGTATGTCTCAGGCCCTGTCCTCGCCCGTGGTGCCATCTTCCCTGTTGGCTGAGACTAAGTCAGGAGTGGGGTGGAGACCAGGATCCTCCAAGGTCGGTGGGCATTTTCTGCCAATAGGAAATCTACGCCAGTCTCGGCTTCAATTTCTCCACCCCTTTATCAAACGCGGAAGGTAACGAAGCGGTAAATCTTGAACATTTGCTAATGATTAGGCGTTGCGTGGCCCTCTATCTCTTAATTTTCTAGGCAACATCAGTTCCCAGGCCCATCCTCAATCCGAATGCGAAGAAAATATGACAGGTAGATCGCATTCCACACAAACCTAGAGCCCACCTGAGCTCAGAACTCCCCAGCCCTGACAGCAGCGGCCACGCTCACCAGTCCCTACTTCAAATCGAAACTATTCAAAAGCTGAGCAATTGATTTGGAGACTCTCAGCCGTGCCAGTTCTTAAGAGCCAAACAGAACATGGCGCTAAACCAGTAGGCAATCACACCTCATCAGCATTCAATCAGAAAACACCCATTTTAGAATCAGCATAATTATAACCTGCAACACTCAGTCCTACTGACCTATAGGCATCAACCCTTCGTCTGTCCTAATTTGAGCAACCAATCAGAATAAGGGTCACTCAATTCTTTATCATTTACTATTAGTGCTCCTCTCCCCCACCCCACCCCACATCTATTCCTGGTCCACATAAGCAGGACCAGTATCAGCCAATCATGAGCAATCTTAAATTCACAGCAGATCATAATCTGCTCCCGCTTGTGAGTTTCAGTTTCCAAACCCATATCTATGGTCCTCCTTCTTTGCTCTCTCCTCTTCCCCTCTGAGCAGTGAAGAATGAGCCTGTTCCGTATTTCTACTTTTATTTGACAATAACAAACTGCATATAAAAAGGAAGAAGGCAGGCGGGGAGGCCCTAGATCTGCTCCTCTCTGCATCCCCAAGTATCCACTTCTAGGCCCCAACGAGGACCACCCCCTTCCTGCCTGGTAGTGGGGTGGGGATTGACAGGCAAGGGAAGGTTGTGTGTGTTTGCGTGTTATGTATAGGGGTGTTGGGGCTCAAGAATGGAGAGGGTCAAGGAGTAGAGAAAGGGCCTTCCCTCATCCCCCCATGGAGACTGGTACCCTAAGGAGGGGTCTTGAAGGGAATTATGAGGGTCATATGCTTCAGCCTATGAGACGGTAGAAGATCCAGCATCCAAAAGTAACCCAGTGACTGGCCCAGCTGAGCTCTGACCACTTGTGGACAGTGTATGCCATGCCGTAGCCCTGTAGGAGAGAAAAAGGTCGTGGTTCTGAAATTCAAGGACAGAGTCTCTCAGGAAAAGCCATCTTTTGCCCAGGGATATTTGGTATGTCCTCGTATATCGAAGTGACAGACAGGTCTAGGTACTTATGAAGGGTAACCAGGTAATGTTTTTCATTCCTTAAAGATCATTTCAAGGGGATGAGTGTATAGCTTGATGGTAGAGTGTGTGTTTTTATGCAGGAGACCCTGGGTTTTGATTTCCAGCAGCAACAAAAAGGTCATTTTAAAAACAAGATGAGGGGCTGGAGAGATGGCTCAGAGGTTAAGAGCATTGCCTGCTCCTCCAAAGGTCCTGAGTTCAATTCCCAGCAACCACATGGTGGCTCACAACCATCTGTAATGAGGTCTGGTGCCCTCTTCTGGCCTTCAGGCATACAGACAGAATATTGTATACATAATAAATAAATAAATATAAAAAAATAAAAACAAGATGATGTGCTGGATGCGGTGGATTGTGCTGTTATCTAAGTCTCTGCAATATGAAATCATTGGAAATCTGAGCGTCTACCAATAAGGAACAAAATAAACCATGTTGAACTCTTGCAATGGAAAAAATGAAAATGCTATGTGCTTAAAAAACTGGGGTAAGCAAGGTATGGAGACCCATGACTTTAATCCCAGCACTTGGGAGGCAGAGGCAGGCCCATCTCTGTGAGTGTGAGGCCAGCCTGATCTATGGAGCTAGTTCCAGGGCAGTCAGGACTGTTACACAGAGAAACCTTGTCTTAGGGAAAAAACCTGGAGGAAAGAAATTAAATTAATTAAATATATTGTGTGTATGTTTGACATGCTTTGAGGAAGACAGTTAATAAATGAATTAAAAAGTTTGTGCATTTTGCAGTGACTATCTCCACTGGTTACTTTGTGTTTGTTTTGGGTGCTAAGGATCACATTTCAAGGGCTCTACCACTGTGGGCTCTACACTCCCACCTCTAATGTATTTTTTGTTTGGTTGATATTTTTTTTGAGATGGGTTCTCTCTCCATAGCCCTGCCTGGCCTTGAACTCATTGTAGACCAGGCTGACCTCAGACTCACAAAAATTATCTGCCTCTGCCTCCCTGAGTGCTGGGACTAGCAGCATTCATCACCACACCCATTCCTAAAATGTTTTTAAAAATGTTAAAGAAGAAAAAAAAGAAAAAAAATGTTAAAGAAGGGCTGGAGAAATGGCTTAGTGGTTAAGAGCACTGATTATTCTTCCAGAGGTCCTTGAGTTCAATTCCCAGCAACCACATGGTGGCTCACAACCACCTGTAATAAGATCTGGTGCCAACTTCTGGCCTGCAGGGACACATGCAGGCAGAACATTTACATAACAAATAAATAAATCTCAAAAAAATGTTAAAGAAAGCCTGGCTAGTGGTGTATGCCTTGTAATCTCATGTATTTGGGAGGCTGAAGCAAGGATGATCTTTTTTACATATCTCAAAAAGAAACTCAAGTGGGCATGACAGCTGATATGTAATCTTTTTTTTTCCAGACAGAGTTTCTCTGTAGCCCTGGCAGTACTCCCAGATCTACAAGCTAGATCCCAGGCTAGCCTTGAACTCAGAGATCCAACAGCCTCTACCTCCCAAAGTGCTGCTGGGATTAAAGGCTGCAATCTTGGCACTAGGGAGGCTGAGATTTGAGAAAAAGGATTCAAACTAGCCTGGACTAATACAGAATCCAGGAATGAAACAACAACAACAAAAACCAGGACCAAACAAATCCAAATTTCTTTTGAGTCAATGTTTTCCTATGAACTCACTATAATACAGAGACCAAGCTGGCCTTGAACTTACAGAGACCCACTTGTCTCTGCCTCCCAAGGGCTGGAACTAAAGTTGTGCACTGCCATGCCAGGCTGCAAACCCAAAATTTTGTTTTGAATGAAAATTTTAAAATATTCTTAATTAGGAAAAAAACATGAAAATTTATTTTCAGGTAAGAATTTAAAAATCAGGCTGGGTGGTGGTGGCACACACCTTTAATCCCAGCACTTGGGAGGCAGAGGCAGGCAGATCTCTGAGTTCGAGGCCAACGTGGTCTACAAGAGTGAGTTCCAGGACAGACTCCAAAACTACAGGGAAACCCTGTCTCCAAAGCAAAACATAAATTTTAGGTTGTTTGTTTGTTTTTTCAAGACAGGGTTTCTCTGTGTAACAGCCCTGACTGTCCTGGAACTCACTTTTTAGATCAGGCTGGTCTCAGAACTCACTGAGATCCACTTGACTCTGCCTCCCAAGTGCTGGGATTAAACACGTGTGCTGCCACTACCCAGCCAAGGTGATTTTTCTAAAAGTAAAGTCTCAATTATGTTGCCTAGGCAACATTCCTGGGCTCACACATTCCTGCCTCAGTGTCCCAAGTCGCTGGCACCTGTAGGTATGCATCATCACTCCAAGGAACATAAAGTTTAAAGCAGAATCCAGGGCTGGGATGTAGCTTGATCGGTAGCATACAGGAAGCTCTGAAATCCATCCCCAGCACACATAACCTGGGTCTGGACAGACATGTCTATAATCTAGCACATGGAAGGTGTGTGCAGGATGACAAGAAAGAAGTTCAAGGTTGTCTCTGGTTAATAATGAGCTCGAGGCTAACCCGGGTCACATGAGTGTCTCTTTCTCTGTGTGTGTGTGTGTCTCTCTCTCTCTCTCTCTCTCTCTCTCTCTCTCTCTCTCTCTCTCACACACACACACACACACACACACACACACACACACAGATATGGGGGGTGAGGGTGCGGGAGGGCTGGAGTGTGTAACATAGTGGAATGTTTACATGTCTTGCACCAAGCCCTTGGTTTCATCTCTAGCAGCCCATAAAACTGGGCTGTGGTGGTGCCTGCCTGTCATTTCAACCCTTAGGAGGTAAATAATGAGTTTGAGGCCAGCCTGGAATACATGAAACCCTTCCCTCAAAGTTATACACAAAAGTAAAACCTGGGGCCAGGAGGCAAAGCAAATGTATGTAACACGAGGCAAACAAATGTATGTAACACGAGGGAGGGCCTGGGTTCAGTTCTTAACAGTTAAACAGATTTTGTATTCTATCTCAGAAGAATGGATTTTAGAGGGTAAATAAGTAAATACTGCAGTTTACTCAAAGGAAAGAGCCAGCAGTGTGACTAAATTTGAGGGACAATGGGAAAGATGGAGCAAGGCTTTTGTACAAGCTAAACCACGGGACCTTGGCTTGGCCTCACTGCCTTGGTCTTCAAGGTTCTCCCAAGTACCATCTCTGGCCCACCTCCCAGCCCAGGGCACCACCTCACCTGCTCCTCTGTGGTGTCGTCCACATCGACATCAAACAGGGAGCCCAGGTAGGCCAAGTGGAAGACAGCCAGGGCCCCAAAGAGCAAGTTTAAGGCTCGTACCCTCAGGCCCTGTGGGGGACAGATGGATATATTTAGCAGCTGAACCTGCCCACTGTCCCCCACCACCACCTGTGCAGGGGAGCCCAGGGGGACACAAGGTGCTGTGGGTCCCAGGAATGAGGATGCCCAGGGTACCCCAAGATAGGAAAGAGATGGTTCAAGGAGCCTCTTATGGGAGCTCAGAGGTATCCAAGGACGAGGGTGTTGGTAACCACGAGGGCGTCCAGGCAGAGGAGCAAGAATGGTGGTGAGGGCTTTGAGCCAGGGGTTATGGTGATGAGCATCGTTGCCGGGTGGGAGACAAATGTGAGCTTGTCTGCATTTCTTATGGCAAACAGAATGAAAACAACAACAAAACCAAAACAAATCCCGCCCTGACCTAGAGGGCCCGTCTTTCCCCTCTCCCCATCACTCTGCTCAGGCCACACTGGCCTCCTCACTGTTCCTCCAAGATTCCCATGTTGGGGTGGGACTTTATGCTGGGTATCCCCTTTTCCTGAGATGCTCCCCTCCCTTACCTCTTTTACTTAAAGAACTCACAAGTTGCCTCACCTATGGAGGCTTTCCTGATCTTCCCAATGAAAAGGTAAACCACCACCCCACTTCCCATCCCTTTTCCCTTATGCTTAGCGCTACTCACAACCTGACAAACTACTATCAGCCTTGACTGAGTTTACTGTCTCCCCAATTAAAATCTTTGTCCCACGGGGCCAAGACTTTGGCCTGCTTTGTTCACCACTTTGTCTCCAGCACCTAGAACCAGCAGGTGCTCAATAAATGTTCAGTGGGGGGGAACGAATGCCAGGTGTGTATACAGCAGGTGCTCAATAAATGCCTGTTAGAGAAACAGATGCGAGTGAATAGAGGCGAGGTTTTAGGAATGGCTCAGGCACCAGAAGAGGAGGCTGGGCACCCGGAGACAGATACAAGATGGAGACAGAAGTGACATTTTGGAAAGGGCAGTGTTGGGTACAAGGTTACCCATGATGAACTCTCACCAAGCGATGCCGATGTGAACAGTCCGGCAGACAACGCTTCGACAAGATGCAGGCACTGAGGATCTGAGCCAGGCGCTTTCGGAGGACTGGGCAGGGTGGGATGGCAGGTAGTGCAGTTAGTCTTTGGGATCACTGGAGCTGGCCTCCCATGAACCTCCCTCCCACTGGGACTCTACCAGGCTCTGCACTCACCATGTTCCACGTAGGTGATAAATGCCAGGGACAGCAGTACCGCAGCCAGGTGGAAACTGAAGCCCTGGAGAGTCGGGGAAGGAGACAATGAGAGCTATGAGGAGACTCTGGTTCCCCCGCCCAGCTTCCCTCCATCCAGGTCTGTCTGGCTCACATGCAGAAGGGCACTGGATGCGTAGGTGACCAGCACAGCTGAGAAGGTCCCCAGGCGGAGAGCATTCTTGAAAACATCTGCAGGCCAGAGAGATACAGGTTCAGATTGTCCGGAACCTCCACCAGCCCTTGCAGGGAGTGACAGGTAGGAAGATAACCACAATCTGTTGGGGTCCTCAGGATAAAGTCTATGATGTCCTCAACTGTTACAAGCCTGAAAACGAACTCCAAGTCTTCCTTCCATCCTGCTTCAGCCAGACTTCACAAGGCTAGCTACTCAGTGGCAACTCTCCATCCTTCTAGGTCCTCAGGGCAAAATTCAACCTTCCCAACACACCTACACTCTTAGCAAATCTCATCAGTTCTTCCTTCAGAATCCACCAGAATCCTACATTTCCCTGTGCCCTGTTGCTACCACTCTTGCTGCTCCGGGCAGCTCCAGCGGCCCCCTTGCTGCTGTCACTTGCCTTCATCTAGCCGAAGGGATCCAGTTACAAAAAGGCCAGGGGGATCCAGTTCCAACCCAAATGACTCTCCTCTGATCCTAGCCCTGCCCGGAGACACTATCTCTCAATGGTCCAGGAGTCTCTTGAGGATCTCTGAGCTCATGTCCTGCTACTACCCCACCGCGCTCACTTTGTTCTTCCAATTCTGGGGATATAACTGAATGGCTTGCATGTGCCCTACCCTGGAGTCACGTTCCCATTCCCCTACGACCTTCTTGCTGTCTCTCCGACACACCAGGCAAACTCACACCTCAGGGCCTTAGCACCTGCTGTCTCGCCACCTGTCACATTCCTCCCCCACACATCTGCATTCCTTGCTCCTTCAGTGTCCTTAGATCTTTGCTCAAGTGTCAGGAAAACTTGCCCTGGATAAAGTACTTTCCAGACTACTCCCTGTTCCTTCATGTTTCAACATCACTGTTACTACTCACGTCGGCTTTTATCACTACCTGACTTACTGCGTATTTTTTCCCTAATTAACCACCCTCCCAATTACCACTTTACCAGGTTAGCAAATGTTGTGAGGTTTTGTTGTTGTTGTTCCTAACATACCTTGTTTTTGAGACAGGACCTCCTGTAGTACCCAAGGCTGACCTAAAACAGCTGTGTAGCTAAGGATGACCTTGAACTTCCAAGCCTCCAGCCTCTACCTCCAGAGAGCTGGGATTACAAGCAGGTACCACACACCCAGTTTTTATGTGGTGCTAGGGATCAAAATCTTGGGTCTCATGACTACTAGACAAGCACTCTACAAACTGAGCTACACTAACAGCTAGCCGCTGCTGTGTCTTCAGCTCCCACCATGCAGCAGTTGCCCACTAAATGTTTGCTGTATAAATGTATGAAAGGGTCTGGGTGGCCGGGCGGTGGTGGCGCATGCCTTTAATCCCAGCACTCAGGAGGCAGAGGCAGGCGGATCTCTGTGAGTTCAAGACCAGCCTGGTCTACAAGAGCTAATTCCAGGACAGGCTCCAAAAGCACAGAGAAACCCTGTCTCGAAAAACCAAAAAAAAAAAAAAAAAAAAAAAAAGAGGAAAAAAAAGAAAAGAAAAGAAAGGGTCTGGGTTACCAACTTTTTTGGAGTGGTGACTTGGAGACTCACAGTTATTTAACCAATAAGACATGGGCAGGTTCCAGCTTGTGACAACTTCCACCATGGACCGGGGCAGCTCCACATTCAATGGTCTAGAGACTGTCAGGTCCCTTGTGGGCAAAACAGACATGCCATTACAGTGGTATCAAGCTAGCTGGTTGCTATGCTTCTGTCTTGACTGGTTCCTTCTCAAGATCACCTCCCACCACCCTACACTTCCTCCAGGCAAAACCCTGTGGGAGAAGGGGCCCCAAAATCCTCCCCACCATTCCAGGTGGTCCTTCTCCTCCGTGAAGCCAGCCCCGGCCAATGTGGCTGTAGCCTCAGACAGAAAGCCCACAAAATAGTTGCTGAAGTGGAAGGAGACAGCACTCTCGTAGGCCCGCAGCCACCTGTGAAGAAAGGGCCAGGAAGGAAGGTATTTACATCCAGGTTCAGACACGACACCCCCCCCTCCATGTCTCAATATCGCAGCCTTGTGGACTCACCTTACCATGGTGCCCCTAGGGCCCCCAGAGGTCAGGAATGCAGCAGAGAGGAGAGAAAAGAGAGTCAGAGAGACCCTGGAAATTGGCCTGAGTTCTTCATAGATAAGACAGAAACACGGTAGCAAAAGAGGCAGACTCTGATGGTCTCACACACACACACACACACACACACACACACACACACACAGAGTCAGGTGATTGATTGATTCCACATGGCTCAAATGAATGCATGAGCTGGCATATGACACAGCCCTGCACACTAAAATGGCCACATGGCCAGACAAAAATGTTCTCAGCCTCTCAGCTCTCTAACCAGATTCAGCCACCTTATAAGACAATAAAATAAAACCTTAGTGAAACACAGACAGTTAAATGCCCACTATGCACACATACACGGTCAATTTCACAGACAACGTCAAAAGCAGAATAGTGCCCTGCATTCCAAAACACAAAGGTACTTCAATTAGGCCTGGGCTTTGTGCCGGACAATTTAACTCAGGGGCACTGGTCAAGTGACTTCACTTTTTTCAGTCTCATTCTCTTTTCTTTTCCGAGACAGGGTTTCTCTGTAGCTTTGGAGCCTGTCCTGGAACTAGCTCTTGTAGACCAGGCTGGGCTTGAACTCACAGAAATCCGCCTGCCCCTTCTTCCGAGTGCTGAGATTAAAGGCGTGCAACGCCTGCCTAGCCACTTTTTGGAGTCTCGTTAGTATTAGACATAACCAAGAGCCAGTGAGTAAGGGTAGCGAGTCATACGATCAAACGGCTAGCAAACAGCCAGATACAGTCCTGGTCAAACAGGCACAGGCTCATAGCTTGTCATAATCCTTTAGGCAGATAGCACCAAGCAGTTTAAGATGGCAGACAAACTGCAGAGTCAATCACAAGCAGGCACACTGCATGCTGTACAGGCAAACCAGAATTACAGATAAGCCAGAATCACCGACCCAGGTTTACTCTAGCCAGTGACAGCCACACAAGCCCACCACTGACAATGCACAGCAAGCCAACACTCAGGGAGTCAGTGGCCACAGGCAAAAAATTCAACTCTGTTATCAGGAGTCATGGACAATTTAGAGTCACCAACTAATACACACTTGCCGCTTTCCATTACAGTCACATAGCTTGTTTCTATTGGTACAACAGAAGGACATCCAGACACAGTAGTGTTGGAGTGTCAGTCATACACGGAGTCACTGAGCCAATCTTGGTCAAACAGACATCCACAGACAGACACTTGGTCTCTGTGCAGTAATGGGGTAGATGGTCAGTCAAATTCAGATGTCTGGAACCATATGGTCCAAGGCTCTGGCCCAGCCCTGGTCATCCCACTTGCCCTCAGCACCTGCCCTCATTTACCTGGCTTTGCGTTTCTTGCTGTAGTAACAGAAGACAGACAGAAGCATTAAGAGACAGGCTCAGAATTGGGAAGACCCCAGGCTCCTACCCAACCCCCTCACTGCTACACAGGGGCCTTGAAGGCTGTGCTCACTTGCGAAGGAGTCGATCACCGTCGAGGGGGATGAAGTAGGGGAAGAGGTAAGGGCCCACACAAGTGGACAGTACAAGGCACAGCAGGGCCAGCGCCAGGCTCCGGGCCACCTTCTTCAGCCATCGGCGGCTCTGTGGGATCAAGGATCCATGAACACTGCCCCATGGCGGCTCCCACAGTCCCTGCCCACCTAGCCACCCAGGAGCTCACCAGTGGGCGGCCTTGGACAGCCTGTAGGTAGCTGTGGAAGGATATCCAGGGCCCAAAGACGATGGTGCCCACAAAGTAGAGGTAGCCCATGAACTCCACAGGTGAGGGCACTGCACCCACCTCGCCCCGGTCCAGGTCGAAGCCCAGAGACACCGCCTTCATGGCCACGATCATCTGGGCCCCTATGTGTGGGGCCCATGGTCAAGTGTATGGACAAGAAAGCATGTCACAATGAAAGATAGGGTGCACCAGGTGTGAGGTGCCAGGAAACGGAGACACGATGGTAAGCAGAAAGAGACAGACACAGATGCCAGGGGAGAGGGAGACCTGCGCTGTATGTGGTTTAGGAAGGGGGAAAGTCAGGGAGGAAAGAATCAGGGTGGGGGCTCTTAGGAGATGAGGGGGGAAGGGGAGCAGAGCTACCCACCTCGCATCTTGTGCCATGTCACGGTGTCCACCATGTGCATCTCACTGAAGGAAAAAAGGTGACGGTCTTGGCTCTATGCTTCCTAGGGCTTTGGACACTACAGGGGGGCATCAAGGTATTGAAGGGGTTCTGCCTTTCTGATGCATACTACATACTAAGGGAAAAAATCCCCAGCGCCCCCTCCAGGGGAAGCCCACGATCAACCCATCCTGTAGAGCCTCATGAAAGGAGCAAGTGTTCCTCCAGTCTCCTTCTTCATGGGCACTAGTCACTCTCTCTCTGGTGTCTCTTTGGAGAACGGTGATCCCTGACTCCTCCCTTTCTCCTTAGAAGCCCATGCCATCCTATCTAGGACCACTTCATCGAGGCCTTGGGGAGCCGCCTGCCTTCAGGGTGAGGGTGAGGATGCACACCCATACCCCATGAGTAGGTAGATGAGGATGGTGATGGAGAGGAAGACGCCTCGGTGAGAGGAGTGTCGGCAGAGGAACAGCACGAGGTAGCACAGGAGGCTCAGCAGTACGACCCAAACCATGTGCAGCTGGAAGAAGTGGTAGAGGCTGAAGAAGCCACCTGCCACGGTGCTTGCATGCTTCAGGTAAGACGGTAACCCTTAGGGGACAGGGAGAGAGAAACAGGGGGGGACAAGAAGTGGGAGGTTGGATTGGCAGGAAAGAAAGGAGGACTTGGGCAATAGGGCCCACTTTGGGCAAAGGCCTAGAATGTGATGGGGATGAAGGGGACCCAAAGCTGATACTGATGAGCTGGCAAGTGTAGCAAGGTGTGCATTTAAAAAGGAACATCTACTAGGGACATTTCAGAGATCCTGAAAGAAAAAATTATTAATTTATGTTGGACAGTATTGCATCCAGATTAAAATTTTGCAGGGGTGGGGGATGATGGTTGAAGCTATGACTGGGCGTGTGTGTACTTTTGTTCTCAGGGACCATATACTGAAGGACTTGGGGTGAAATGTCATGCACTATTACTGAAATGGCTCAGGAAGATGGGCAGGTAGGAAGATAGAGCAAGCTGTTTTTTGGGTTTTTTTTTTTTTTTTTTTTTTTTTTTTTTTTTTGGTTTTTCGAGACAGCGTTTCTCTGTAGCTTTTGGAAACTGTCCTGGAACTAGCTCTTAAAGACCAGGCTGGTCTCAAACTCACAGATATCTGCCTGCTTCTGCCTTCCGAGTGCTGGGATTAAAGGCGTGCGCCACCACCGCCCGGCTAGAGCAAGCTGTTATAGCAAAATATGAGCTATGGAAAACCTGGAGATTGATTTATATGTGTGTGGTCTCTGAAAAGTTCTTTCAACTTTTTAGTAGCTTTGATATGTACCAAAATAATAAAAGTGAAAAAAATTCACTTAAGATGAAAAGGAAAAGGAACGAGAACCTTTGGTTTTCAGAAATCTCTGTATCGTATAGGGATTCTGGGGATTCGGAACTTTCTCATTTGGCTATTGACCTGCTATAATTGTGGAAGCTATAGAATCTAAGAACTCAGAAATTTCATCATGCCCTGATTACAGAAATTCATAATGTCAACATTTTGGAAGCCCAGCCTGTGAAAATTTCAACTTAGCAAGACTCTTTAAACCGTAACTATGATACTTTGCAATATGATACTTGTAACACCAGCATTTCAGGATCTGATTGATAGATAACCTTAGAATATAGACAGCTGAGGATTCCACAATCCCAGCGTGCAAAGAATGCTGAAGGTCATGTCTTAGTTTAACAGGATGTGGCTTGGCATAGTGTGGCTTGAGGTGGCTGTACATCAAAAAGGTGTTGTGGTGGAATGGAGCTTAGCTTAATGGATGTGGTGGGATATGGTGGACCTGTAGGGGCCTGGTTTGACATGGCAGGATGTGGCAAGTTAGGATGTGGCAGGGTAAGGTCTATCTTGATATTCATGATTGTGGCAGATTAGAGAAAATCTAATGTGGTGGAACACAATGTGGCAGGCACTTACCCAGTCTCCAAAGGAGGCGGCAGGCGAAGCAGATGGTAAGGAGAAGCCAGATCTGGTCAAGGCCCTGTTGGACAGTAGGCAGGAGACAGCCCTGCAGTAGCTGCTGGAAAAATTCCTGGCGGCTGAAGGTTGCCATTGTGGATCCACACAAATGGATGGAAATATGGATCTGCCAAAGGGAGGACACAGAGACAGTAAGATGTCCACGGGGCTACCCACAATCAAGGTTTGGACTTGAGCACTCGGGACTTCTGTTTGGGGCTGCCAAATCCCCAGCGTGGTATTGGAAGGCTTGGGGGGGGGGGAGGATGTGAATCAGGTACGTCAAGCTGAGCCACCAACTGTGCTATCAGCGGGCGTTCTAGATGCACCGTGACCCGAAGGGGGATGAAGGACTCGTGTATCTTGAATGCTGTGAACAGTCCGGTCCAATGATGATAGAATGATATGCATTCTAGACCTATATAATCAAATGGGGCGGAAGAAGTGGGCTCCTTGGTTTCCAAGGTAGTCACTCAGTGTGGAGAGCAGAAAGGGGGAGCCTGTGACACTTAGGGGCCGTGTGCATCTCTCCTTGTATGGATTTATCCTCCGCGAGCTTCATCTTACCCCACTCAGCAAAAAGCGGCCAACAAAGCCCTGCCCTGGTCGAGGGACTGCAGGAAAGTGGAAGTGTTGGCAGGGGACATAGCAGGGAGGCAAGTCCTATAGGTGATGCGGACGAGGTCCCAGGACAGGAGGTACAGATCCGTGCCCAGGAGGCCAGCTTAAGGATGGGAACGTGGGAGCCGCGCGCACACTACTGGAGACCTACCTGACGGAAAGGAAGCCGTGGTCCTGGGGGCCGGGGACGTGCACTGCTGCCACCGTCGCCACCTCCTCCGGGCAGCCTCCCCCGCAGGCCGCAAGGCCGGGACCAGCAGTGGCTCCCAGGGCGGCGCGGCGGAGCGGGCCCTTTAAATCCCGGGGCGGACCAGCGGCTGAGTTTCTCCAATCGGAGAGCGGGAGCGGGGCGGGGACCGGGAGGAGTGAGCCAGAGCATCGCGAGGAGGAGCAGCAGGGTTGAGGGGCGCGGGGCGCCGGAGCACGTCTGCGCACGGAGGGTTCGCGGGTGCCCATTTCAGGCCAGTTGCTATTCCAGCCCTGAAACGTTCGAGACGTTCGAGGCACAAGAATTTCTCAACTTCCAAGAAAACGTTTCCTAATGATTATTTTGTAATCCTTAAGAACCAAAATGGAAAAGATAAGAGAAGGGTTGAGGCTAGCCCCTTCTCTGCCAAAAAGCTCGCCCCTGCGGTTCCTCTAGTTTAGATTTTAGTAGGACCCTAGTAACAGCTGGAAAAGCAGCCGAGGTTCCTCTTTTCCTATCTCTTGAAGGATCGGAAGGAAGGAATTTTCAGTCTTCCTTAGCCTCAGGGACCAGCCAGGACCTTTTGTAGGTAATGACTCTGTCACCTAGGAGCACTCACTAGGTGTCTTATCGACCCCCTAAGGGCAAGCTGTGGGCATTTGGTTTATCATTAACTGATTAGCTTAATCCGCCACCAGACTGGACCCTGCAAAGAAGGTGACTTCAACTGATAACTAAGTGTTCCTGTAAACTAGAAAGAGGCTAAGAAGGAACGCTTAAAAGATTGACCCTGACAAAGATCTGTACCACTCTCTGTACCAACACAAAGGGTTTGTGCAGCACGGTTCTCTCCCGAAAGTACGCTGCCGCTGCCGTTGTGGGCGTTCAATTCTATTCCTAGGCTAATGAAACCTCAAACTCCCCAAGAAGAGCCCATTTTTTTTTCCCTAAGGCGCACTTATAGGGCATTAAGGGACTTAGCTCCAAATGTGAATGTGAACAGAGAAGCATGCCCAGGTCAATCTTGACCTCATCCTGACCCCAGGACCTAAGGAAAACAGGTTCTAATAAGATTAATGCCTGGCTGTATGGAGTTAAGGAAGTTGTGCCCATTCACTCTGGGCGGTGTCCCTTTCTGTTAAACAAAAGGGCAGGATTAGCAGTTCTTGGCTTGGAGAAACTCTTTGCCTGTCTCTGTCCCTGCAGTCTGGGGATGCAACGCAGGGGCCGTGCTTTCTAGGTAAATGCTCAGCCGATGAACTTTTTAACATTGATTTAAATGGACTAAATTATTAGTCATGTTTACAAGCGAAAAATATTTAACACTGTGGGTATGTGTATCTGTACATACAAATGAAGGCTTACACAAGCCACATGCACAAATATTAAAGTCCTTTCCTCAAAGGTAGAATTCAGGGCTGGATTCTCAGTGGTTAGGAGCACTTGCTGCTCTTCCAGAGGACCTAGATTTGATTCCCAGCATCCACACGGGTAGCCAACAACCATCTGTAACTCCCAAGTACTCTTGTGGTGTATATTCATATATAAATCTAAAAACAATAGAATACAACTGGTGTGGTGGTGCACCTCTTTAATCTCAGTACAAGGAAGGTAGAGGCAGGTGGATCTCTGTGAGTTCGAGACCAGCCTGGTCTACATACTGAGTTCCAGGATTTTCAGGACTACATAGTGAGACCCTGTGTCAAAAAAGAAAGTACTAATATCCATATTTTGGGGCCATATAACAAACATGTACAAATCAAGAAAAGGAGCCAGGTGGTGGTGGCACACACCCTTAATCCAATCCTAGCACTTGGAAGGCAGAGACAGGCAGATAGCTGTGAGTTCGAGGCCAGCCTGGTCTATAGAGCGTTTTTCTAGGACAGCTAGGGCTGTTACACAGAGGAACCCTGTCTCGAAAAATAAAAAGAAAAGAAGAAAGAAAAGATAAAAAGGATGAAAAGGAGAAAACATACCAGACAATGGACAGAGTGCAAACAGTGAGCTGCTTCACATCTAGACTATGTGGTGCTTGCTTCCTTCGGTGCTAAGGATGGAGCACAGCAGCCTGTTTCAGGAAGTCTGTACATTTGAACTGGATTTGCTAGATGATGAACTAGATGAACTAGATGCCTTTTTTGGGGGGTGGGGGGTTAAGGAGTGGAGAGTCTCACTAGCCCTGGCAAGTTTGGAACTCCGTAGACCTGGCTGGCATTGGATTCACAGGGATTCGCCTGTTTCTGTCTCCAGAATTTGGGGTTAGAGGTGAGTGCTACCACACCGGATCCCTTTTATTCACTTCTTTATTTGTTTTGTGGTGGGGCCTCACTGTGTAATCCTGGCTGTCCAGCTGTGCAGAACAGGGTGTCCCTGAAGTCGCAGAGATCTGCCGACCTCTGCCTGGTATTAAAGGTGTGCACCGCTGTAATCAGCTCCATTTTATTTTATTTATTTACTTTTTTATGGGTATGGCTGTTTTGCCACCATGCACGTCTGTGTATCACATCTGTGTCTGGTGCCCAAGTAGGCCAGGCAGAAGAGTGCATGGATCCTCTGGGACTGGAGTTATAGTCAGCTGTGAGCTGTCATGTGGGTGCTGGGAACTGAACCCAGGTCCTCTGCAAGAGAAGCCAGTACTCTTAACTACTGACTTATTGCTCCCCTTTCCCTTGTCATTCAATTTATTAAAAATTTGCGCTAAGCGGTAGTGGTGCATGTTAAGTTGGAAGCATAGCCCCAACCCCTGGCCTGAGAGTTGCTTTGCTCTGGACTCCAAATCCCAGCTTGCCAGGTCCTGACCCCTCCCTGAAGGGGATCAGGACCATTCCCACAAGGTATTTAAGTGGTCTCCTAGAGGAGAAACCTGTGGTTTTGGGTCTGTATGGGCTCCCTGCTGTACTGTCTTTCGGCCCTGTGCCTGGCCACCCAGAGAGTCATTCTTATTGTTTTTATTGATATTTATTGAGCTCTACATTTTTCTCTGCTCCCCTCCCTGCCTCTCCCCTCCCCCTTTCAATCCTCCTACAAGGTCCCCATGCTACCAATTTACTCAGGAGATCTTGTCTTTTTCTACTTTCTACTTCCCATGTAGATTAGATCTATGTAAATCATTCTTAATAAAACGATAGATATTCTGATTTGGTTTGATTCGACCTAATTGGATTTCTTGCGCTGGTGGAGCTGCTTTTTTCCTCATCAGCGCACGCCTTCAATCCCAGCACTTGGGAGGCAGAGGCAGGCAGATCTCTGAGTTTGAGGCCAGCCTAGTCTAAAGTGTGAGTGCGAGGAAAGGCTCCAAAGCTACACAGAGAAGCCCTGTCTTGGGAAAAAAAATATTACATTTTATTGATGGGGAGAATGTTATGACAAATGTATGGAGGGCAAAGGCCAACTTGCGGGATCTGGTTCTCTGCTTCTACCACGTGGTCCTGGAGATTGAACTCAGATAATCAGACTTGACAACTAGTTAGTGCCTTTATCCTCTGAGCCATCTTGCCAGCAGCCCCCACCTGCCTCCTTTTGATGTTTGTTTGTTGTTTGTTTGAGACGGGGGTTACTCTGTGTAGCCCTGGCTGTCCTGGAACTCTCTCTGTAGATCAGACTGGCCTCGAACTCACAGAGATCTGCCTGCGTCTGTCTCCGGAGCCCTGGGCTTAAAGGACTGCTGCCCCCCATCCCCTTTTTTTAAAATCAGGATCTCATATATCCCAGCCTGAATGCAATATGTAGCTGAAGATAAACTTGAATTTACAATCCTCTTGCCCGTAGCACCCACGTGCTTGAATAAGAAACAGGAGAGTCTACATTGTGACCTGTGTTATACTATTAGTTTTATTCTGGTTTTGGTCTCCTTTTTAAAGAAAATGTGCTTCGATCTTAACTTTCATGATCCATAATCTTGATGGATTTTCCCATTTGTTTTGTTTTTGTTTGCTTTGTTTATGAAGAATGCAGGCCAATTCGTGGGAAGAAAGTCCTTCATGATGAATTTATGTGATATGATTAGATTTAGATTATGAGTTTGGGGCAAGATTCCACAGAGGTGATTCTGTGTGCTCAGCTAGCAGGAGGTACAAAATCTTCAGCGTTTGCTTTGATTAGTTGATTAAGGTGATGTTGTCCAGGTTTCTTTATGGTATGTGTGCTTTTCCATGTACCTAGTATTTCACTGGGAAGGGTTTTTTTTTTTTTTTTGTTTCTTTCTTTCTTTTTTTTTTTTTTTTTTT